CTCTCGACCCCATCAAGCAGTTTGGAAACTGGTTTGATGAAGCCACCAAGTGTCCTGAAATAGGAGAGTCCAATGCTATGTGCCTCGCCACTGCCACCAAGTAAGAAACGCTGCCCCCCGAACAGATTGGAGCTGATTTCTTTTCACAGTTTTGTACAATTAATCGTATCTGTTGTGTACTCAGGGATGGACGTCCGTCCGCTCGCATGGTCATCCTGAAAGGTTACAGCAGTGAAGGTTTCCGTTTCTTCACCAACTATGAGAGCAGAAAGGGCTGCGAGCTGGTAAGAAGCATCTTTATCGCTGACTCTGTCAGCAGCCGTCTACATCCATGCTCTGCTTCTTTTGCCCTCAGGTGGTTTTGAATAAATGTGTAATTCTTCCTGTTTCCTGTGTTATTGTCTCACAGATAGTGCATTACTGTGTTTAAATGCTATTATTGAGTCCAGCTCTTTTGCTTTTATCAATAATGTATTTCTTAAGCTAGTAGTTAGCAGGCACAAAAAATTACAAATCAACATCTGTATCAGTCATACAAACAAAAATGGCACCAATTCACTGGTTTGAGCTTTGGAAATACATTTCTATGACTTTGGGGACAATAAACTCTTTATCTTTGGATTTTTGCCCATAATTTATGCAGAACACGTTATCAAGCCATTTCTTTGCTTTAGAGTTTCAAAGGGTTTTTGATGCCTTCATGAGCCAAGGCTGAGATGGTTTTAGCGTGCACAGACGAGGGATAGTGGATATAATGGACAAAATATAATGACTATGGAGCTGCCAGGCAGGAAGAAGAGAAGAAGACCACACAGAAGGTTCATGTTAGATGCCAGTTATAGGGTGAGATGGAAGCAGGTGATCCACTGATTTTAGACATCTTTAAAAAAAACATTTGAAAATGCATTTTTATTCTTTGGCTTTTACTGATACTTTTACTGATAAGTACATATTGCTTTCTGAAGACTTTGTTTTTATTATTCTAAATAAAAATTATATCGCGGGAATTTTTTATTCATCAGGTTTCAAATGTTTTGCATGAATTTTGATATGCATTGTCTCCTTTTTGTCTTAAATCAAATACTGACACTTGTCGCCCCTTGTTGATAAAGTCTGCCTCCATCTCACCCTGTGTCCAGCATCCTCCACTGTCACAACAACCCTATGCATGTCCTCCTTCACTTCATCCATGAATCTTTAAGGCTTCTTCCGTGTTGTCGGGTCCTCTGATCACTTTCTTCTCCACAGGAGAGCAATCCGCATGCATGCCTGGTCTTCTACTGGGAACCACTGAACAGACAGGTGCAGAAACCTTAATTTTACTATTACGTTTTAATATTACGTTCTTCTTTAAACTTTTTATTTTCATAGTAAATGTAAGTTAAATTTAATTTTGATTTTCAGATTCGCATTGAAGGCACCGTGGAGCGGATCCCCTACCAGAGCTCCTGCGATTATTTCCACTCCCGGCCAAAGAGCAGCCAGGTCGGCGCTGTCGTGAGCCGACAAAGCACTACTGTGCCTAACAGAGATGTAAGCGCCGAAGCTGCTCCACCTGCACGTTGTAGGTAATGCATACAATGTCTAAGTCTCAGTTTTCACAATTTCTTTCAGTATCTGAGGCAGAAAAATGCAGAACTGGAGGAGAAGTACAAGGACACAGAGGTGCCTATGCCTGATTACTGGTAAACCTTTGCTCTTAATTAAAGTTAATAACATGTTGGTACGGCTTCTTAAAGCTTTTTCGGTTCGTTGCCTTTAACTGTCCCATGATTTTCTTTTCCAATAGGGGCGCTACATCGTAAAGCCTTTTTTAATAGAGTTCTGGCAGGGACAGACAAACAGACTTCACGACCGCATCGTCTTCACCAAGCTGAAGGACGGAGAGTCCGAGCTGGGAGAGTTTCAGCACGCTGCAGAGGGAGGCTGGGTGTACCAGCGACTGTCCCCATGAGGAGCATCAGCAGGCTGTGAAATAAAGGAGAGGACATGTTTCATCTCGACTATCACTGATTTAAAAAGATCACCATCTTTACCTCACATTAATAACCTTGCATAGGTGCTGTTGTGCGCAGTTTATCAACAAGCCAAATGTCACTGTGCTGTTTTTGAGGTGAACCATGTGTGCTAAGTGGATAAGTGGAGCAGCGTGGCACAATCTGACTGTGCAACTTTTGAGTTTTCCATGCTTTGTAATGGAAAAAGGGCACTGGCCTGAAAAAGTGGAGCAAACTTTACCCACTCAAAATAATGATTAACAGTATGGCTGTGGTTGTTTAACAGTGCAGTCGTTGACCTTCTAGGACATGAAAACTGTTTCTTATTTCTTAAAAAGCACAATCTGTTCCACTCATCAACACTTAGCTGCTGTTCTTCTCCATTGGTGTGATTATTTCTGTACAGGTGTGTAGTTTTCTAAAGAAAATATGGAAAATTGAGACAATTGCTTGAGAAGAAAGAAAAGTGTGACTGTTTTGCTAATTATGGATTCAGAACATCATCTTTGGCCATAACCTGAACAATAAATATAAAAATGAATTTAGAGGCTTTATATGGGAATATGAGAGCATGCTCAATGTGTCATCTTAGAATTTATGACAAAGAGAGCTTGTTCCTCATGAGAAAACTAATATTTGTTTCAAATTCATTGTTGTCTCTAGACAGAGTTTACTGCCTCAGTCGTGTTAGCAACTCGTGAAAAAATCACAAGTCTGTTAACTGAACAACTAAAGTATATTTTTCTTCTAATTGGTGACAAATATGATTTTACACTTACAAATGGAAAATATGTGACCTGTACTGGTGGTTAACTTAATTTAAATTGATTGTATCAGGCTTAAATCTATGCAGTGACTGCCTTTTAATAGTGAGATTAAAAGAGCACGTGATGTCATTTGTGCCAACTGTTGTGTGTCCTGTATTGTTTGAGGATGAATTGTGGTATATAGCTTGAAGTAACTGTGGGAAAATTTTATTAATTAAGTTTTAATTTGTAACTGAGGACAGAGTGTGCGTTTGACCAGCAGATGTCAGTAGCACAGCTAACACAAACACCAAGATTCAGCGAAACACGATCACTCAGAATCACTAGAAACATGCAATATTCTCATGGATAACTGTTGACTTGTGGATTTCTGTGAATCACTCGATGATATCTGTCATTTTCTCAGCTAACAGCAGGGCAGCTCCACTACAAAATGCAGAAGCAGACCACAGGGTGTCAAATATCACCCTGCTTACTATCACCATGTCACCAAAACAGGCTGAACAGCTCACTAACCCCAAAGAACGACCTCACCAAGATCATCGCGTTTAACAGGCCACCATCTGCATGTTAAAAGCTCTCCTCGCTGTAGACTCCAGCACAAACAGAAGAAAATCTTACATGTTAACAACTTTTATATTTATTACAAACAAAAAAGCATCTCAGAAAAAAATTACAGACAGCATTTCTTGTTGTTGATGTGTCACATGCAATGGCTGCAGGAGTTATTTGGACAGTTAAACCAACAAAACAGCATGAAGTTATTTTACAATGACATAAACAGATATTTGATTCGTACAAAAGCACAATTAGCATACCCAAGTCATGTTTTCTGATATGATTGTATCCATAACTGTACCGCGGTCACCTGGGGCAACCTCAGGCTCGAAAAATAAAGCCAAAACTGCAGTTCCTCTAAAAGCCTGGCTCCAGATATGAGTCAGTCTGAATTTACAGCTTGAATTTTGTCCCTGTAGCTAATTCCCCCCTTAACAGCAACTATGAGAGGATGATTTTCTTTTAAAGAACTGACTTTTTTAAAGCATATTAAGGCTTAAAGCTTGCATTATTACGGTTGTGGCTGGAGTGACAGACATTGATATAGGCAACTGTAGCTTGCCATGTACATTTCAAAACATCTAAACCATGTTGGTGCCTTTTAGAGCATTTTAAAGGATTTCTGCCACTTTTCTTCCTGTGTGATCAGCTGTACTGACCGATACTGAACATTATCGAAACTCTGCGGTTTATGACTGCACCTATCTAATCAGGCTTCTAGGGCTAGCTGATAATTTAGAACTCCACCCTCTTATCCAACTTCTACATCCAAGAAACCAACGTGAATTTAGATGTTTTCATATGTGAAACATGAGAGCATTTTTCAGGGTGTCAACTTAGAATTATGACAATGAGAGCTGTAATTTGCACAGTATTCCTCACAAGTAAACGTTTAATATTTGTGGCTGCAAAATATGTTGTCAAACTGACTGTTGCCTCGAGAAAAAGTTGACATTGTTGCATGTTGGATGACAAGATCAACATGGTGATCGTTAATGGTTACATTAATCTTTCATATACAATCTATAATTTTCATTTAAGAACATGTGGAAACAAGGATGGACGAAAGATGTTGTCCTTCCCGTTTGGGGATATTTACTTGACAAGTGTATATAGATATATAAATAAATACATTTACTTGAACATTTGTTTCTTAGAGCTGAGAAATTCAAGTCTTTTCAATGATGACTTGATACTTTTGGGGGCCTTTATATTTGAAAGCATCCACCATAATGTTTCAGATGTAATCAGTGACGTCAAGTCTTTGGTCATAAAAATGTAATAAAAATTTCCTTTGACATTTAACAAAACATAAAAACCTGAAACATAACATTACATCTACAACATTAAAAAATGAAAACTTAAATGACACCAATGTTACATTTGAATCATGAGCGAGAATTCCCCAAATTTCCTTCATGTCATTTTTGAAATATAAAACCAGCGTAGCACAAGGAAGTAAATATAAAAGTTAAAAGACAGAAAATCTGGAGAAAAATGTGTCCAGGACTGTGTTTAGTTCCCGTCTGCCGGGTGGATGTTTAAATTTTGACACCTCGTTGTTTATTTAAGTGTCTTTTTTCTTGTGTTTCCTGTGTGTGGTGAATAGTAGCACAGTAGTAGTACATGTAGACAACATGTGTGTTGCATACATTCAAGCCATCTTTGAAGCTCTTATGTGTATATGACACATTACTGATCAAGTATGTGCATTTTCTGTGCTATTTCTCTGTCTTCTTTTTATGATTCTCTTGACTGAGGTTGTTGTCTGCAAACAGATTTGGGTTCTCGGCCAGCGTGACGCGGACCCTCTTCTTCTCCTTGTAGCGGCCGAGTTGGAGACCTTGACGTGGCGTCCTGGTGGCAGATTTATCGACGATTTTCTCCAGTTTGGCATTCAACTGGCTGTCCAGTTCTGGAGAGCCGTTACTACTTGGGTGGTCTTTGTTCCCAGTGTTACTGCCATGCTCTGCTGGGATTTCATACAGAACCTTGGATTCAGACTTCTTCTTGCGTGAGAAGGTCAGCCTCCACCAGCTTGAGTCAGCCATGGCACCAACAGAGACTGGAGGATCGACCTGTAAAGTTCAGAGATCTTAGCGTGTGGTGAGCAAGACCCTAAAAATGTTACCAAAACACCGTCTATTACTTAGATTTGGATTAATGAAAGCTGTTTTATTATGTTATTATTCAGAAACATTCAAACGTATTTGATTCCCGATAAATAGGAAATGTCACAGAATCAACAACGTCAGTCTTACCTTGTTGGGGAAGAACTTGACTGTGATGTTGTGTTTATAAAGTCTGTGCCTGAGAGTCATCATGTCTTCAGCACTGCTGCTGCTGTTCTGGACCACGGCGATCATTTTACAATCCTCAAACAACTTCTTCAACTCCCTCTTCATTAGTAAGGTCAAATCATTATCCTGAAGGAATGAGACGGAAGAGATTGACACTCAGTAAAGCACGAGACCTGCAGACCAAACCAGGAAAAAAAGACTACTACTTGAACAAAAGGACATAAGTGCATACTTTCAAAATCTGCTTGAAGTAACAAAATAAAAGCCCAATTAATTCTGTAATGTGTAAAATTCTGGTTCCAAAAAATGTTTTTATCATTACCTACTGAGCAGCAGAAAATATATCGTATTTTACTGTAAAAGATGAAGCTTTCAGGTAAAAATAACCTCATCTTGAAAATGGTAAGAGTAGCTAAAGTTCTGAATAAGCTTTACATCTATCAGAGTTGTATACACAGTTGTTATGCTACTTTTTAAAAAAGACATCCAAAGCAACAGACAAGAGTGCAGGCAGGGTGGCGACATGTGTCGAGGTGACAGAAGCATAGCAGTACAAGTAAAAGGTAAGATTTTAAAGAGGTTAGTGAGACCTGCTATGATGTATGGTTTGGACACTATAGTACTGACAAAAAGACAGGACGCCAAGTTTAAGATGTAAAGATTTTCATTGGGAATGAGCGGGATGGACAGGATTAGAAATGAGTGCATGGGAAAGGACAACTTAGAGGGTAAGGGTAAGAAGGTTTGGACATGTTTAGAGGTGGATAGTGGATATACTGAACAAAGGATCGTGAAGATGGAGCTGCAAGCAAGAAGAAAAGAGGGAGAGCACAGAGACAATTAGTGAAGGAGGACATGAAGAGGGTTGTGACAGAGGAGAATGCTCTGTCACATCATGGAATAGGGTAGGGTAACCGTGCAAGTTAAAGGTTTCATAATGACCAAGCGAAAAATAAATATGACAATATTGCAAATATTTAAATGAAACCAACTTTTCCAATTACCTTGCAAATTAAATACAAAGTGCAGATGTGGAAGATAAAGTTTATCATGTCCTTAAGCACGTGTACAAACACTGTTGTATATTCCCATTTCTTTGCACAGTTATTAAACTGCTCCATCAGCTGCTGACTGCCTGGTAAAAGTTGTTTAGGATGCAATGTCAAATGCCTGTTTTTAAGCAACATATTTCAAAGGTTTTGTAAACCTAAGCCAATCCAAGAAATAAGCACACAATGCTGAGCAGTCCTATATGAAGTGAGACTTGTTCCGATCGTGCAGGCTTTCAGTAAAAGGCTGAACATGCTGGTGTGTTACCTCCTGGACGTGTTTGGTCTGGGACGGGTAAGCGCCTGGAGGAAACTCCCGTGCGGGGGGATGTACTGAGTAACCGCTAGCAGCTTCTGTTTCTGGATGTGCAGAGGCTTCCTGTGGCGGGTCACAGCCTTGGACCCGTGTCGGACACTCTGTGTGAGGGGAAGCCATCCTGAAAGCCACAAATGTCAGGTAAATGTCTGCTGTACAACCTGTCAGTGAGCGCTGCGGAGCTAACATCGACTAACTGAGCGTAATAACAGCTAAAAACGGAGTCCCCGCTAACGCTACTAACAGTAGCTAGTTGCTGAAAATTAGACAGACTAACCAGAACCGCAATGTTTAAAAAAGAAAAAGTAATGGTATAAGTATAGTACTTTACCATGTTTTGGCAGCAATTTCGAACACAAGGTCGCCGCCATCTTTCACAGGAAAACGTCGTTATTCAGGAAAGTGACGAACGCATGCGTGCTGCGTTTACTGACATGTCGGCAAAAAGAAAACCTTCCTCATATTTAACAAACTTTAAGCGTAAAAAAGAAAACAAATTACCTAAATGAAGCTGTGCTTTGTGACAACACGTCGGAAAACATTTAAAAACCGATAACCTGTATCCATATACGTATTATCTAAATAATTTGGCTAAAATAATAAGCAAATTGCTGCAATGCCGGAGAAGAGACTCCGAGTGGGCTTGTACGCGAACGCGTCCTAGCGTAATGACGCACAATTACCGACGTTCGGGTTTTTTTTGTTTTGTTTTTGTTTGCATTTTTAGTTCATATGAAAATAAATCCGTAGATTACATAGTTTCTAAATAAGTAGAGTAAAATGATTTTTAAAATCGATGATTTTCTTACAGCATTCTTTTGCGTAACATTTTACGTAAGGAGCGTTACGTCAGCGTGTGTTTTACAGGCATGAGGCGCATACTCAGTACGATTATATTGAGACATATTTGCTTTATTGGAGGAAATCTGCCCTCTCGTGCCACTAGGATAGTAGGGCTGCCGCGCGTTTTTACCTCGAAATACTGCAGCGGAACCAGTATGGACCTGAGTAACATGAGGAAGAGGTACAAAGGAGATCTGGAGGTGAGAAACTGCTGAGTTACCTGCGTTGGGATACAGTGTATTGAGTCATGTAACTGAAGCCACTCTGTCAGTGCTGTGCAAATGCAAGGTCACTTTATGAACCCTGAATTAGATGTGCAAAAAAAATACAGTGAGTGTGCACAGCTGGAATGTAATCTGGCTGCCATGGATAGAGTCTGTGACCAGATCCCACTGCGTTAAATGTTTCCGTATGGGTTGCGTCTTACTTCAGTGAAGTACCGGAGTACCTGGATAAAAAGCCACGCAGGCACATTGAGGTCATTGAGACTTAACACAGAAAAGCCCCAGGAGGTTCAAAACAGGGAAGTTATTGCTGTGAGGGACACTGCTATCCTTGTTTTTGTTTTTAAGCACGTTTCGTGTGAGATTCATATGAACTGATATCATTTAATGAAACACACACCCCTGAGTAGTACTGAAAAATGACCACAACAACAACAAAAAATTGATGAATGGTGTGCTGTCACCACCATTAAAATGGGACATCCTAGCTGTAGCTGTAGATGATGCCACACACTTTTATCCTTTGTCCCTCATCCCACATATTCAGATGATATCCCACATATTGGTTGGCTCTAGTATTTAAAACCATTACCCATAAAATCTGGCTTATATCTTCCCGGATAAAGTGCCAGTTAACAGTTTTTTTCACTTATCCCATGCTTAACAGGGAAAAGTGCAAGGGAAGTCACTACAAAGTCATGAGCTCTGCAGATTTCTGCAGGATATGATGTATAGAAACTACCAAAAAGAGAAGGAAAAACTACTGAGTGGGTCAAGCCTGTGAAATAATATGGATTTAAGAATACTATCAAGCAAAAATCTTCCTTTTATTCTTATTGTTTGGAAAGTTGCATTCAGATAAAAGGCTGTGTAATTATTGTCCCACACAAATTTACTTTTAGGAAGTTTGCATCTGGTCACGCTGTATACAGCTGGAGAAAGCAGGTGTTCCCCAGATGTTTCACACCTCAGCTTTGACCTCTAAATAGGACATATTTCTCTGGCATGTTTAAAAGTGATAAACACAATTGAATAATTAATTAAATCGTAATTATACTGCCTACAGCCTGTACTCACTATAATCCAAAAGCATCAGTGAATCATTTGAATCCTGCATTATGTAAAAGTGGCTGTTTTCCTGTGTTTTTTTACATCTGTATCGGTTGTTTTGTTTCCAGTGCTTTGAGGAGAGTCAGCTCGTGTCTCTCGACCCCATCAAGCAGTTTGGAAACTGGTTTGATGAAGCCACCAAGTGTCCTGAAATAGGAGAGTCCAATGCTATGTGCCTCGCCACTGCCACCAAGTAAGAAACGCTGCCCCCCGAACAGATTGGAGCTGATTTCTTTTCACAGTTTTGTACAATTAATCGTATCTGTTGTGTACTCAGGGATGGACGTCCGTCCGCTCGCATGGTCCTCCTGAAAGGTTACAGCAGTGAAGGTTTCCGTTTCTTCACCAACTATGAGAGCAGAAAGGGCTGCGAGCTGGTAAGAAGCATCTTTATCGCTGACTCTGTCAGCAGCCGTCTACATCCATGCTCTGCTTCTTTTGCCCTCAGGTGGTTTTGAATAAATGTGTAATTCTTCCTGTTTCCTGTGTTATTGTCTCACAGATAGTGCATTACTGTGTTTAAATGCTATTATTGAGTCCAGCTCTTTTGCTTTTATCAATAATGTATTTCTTAAGCGAGTAGTTAGCAGGCACAAAAAATTACAAATCAACATCTGTATCAGTCATACAAACAAAAATGGCACCAATTCACTGGTTTGAGCTTTGGAAATACATTTCTATGACTTTGGGGACAATAAACTCTTTATCTTTGGATTTTTGCCCATAATTTATGCAGAACACGTTATCAAGCCATTTCTTTGCTTTAGAGTTTCAAAGGGTTTTTGATGCCTTCATGAGCCAAGGCTGAGATGGTTTTAGCGCGCACAGACGAGGGATAGTGGATATAATGGACAAAATATAATGACTATGGAGCTGCCAGGCAGGAAGAAGAGAAGAAGACCACACAGAAGGTTCATGTTAGATGCCAGTTATAGGGTGAGATGGAAGCAGGTGATCCACTGATTTTAGACATCTTTAAAAAAAACATTTGAAAATGCATTTTTATTCTTTGGCTTTTACTGATACTTTTACTGATAAGTACATATTGCTTTCTGAAGACTTTGTTTTTATTATTCTAAATAAAAATTATATCGCGGGAATTTTTTATTCATCAGGTTTCAAATGTTTTGCATGAATTTTGATATGCATTGTCTCCTTTTTGTCTTAAATCAAATACTGACACTTGTCGCCCCTTGTTGATAAAGTCTGCCTCCATCTCACCCTGTGTCCAGCATCCTCCACTGTCACAACAACCCTATGCATGTCCTCCTTCACTTCATCCATGAATCTTTAAGGCTTCTTCCGTGTTGTCGGGTCCTCTGATCACTTTCTTCTTCACAGGAGAGCAATCCGCATGCATGCCTGGTCTTCTACTGGGAACCACTGAACAGACAGGTGCAGAAACCTTAATTTTACTATTACGTTTTAATATTACGTTCTTCTTTAAACTTTTTATTTTCATAGTAAATGTAAGTTAAATTTAATTTTGATTTTCAGATTCGCATTGAAGGCACCGTGGAGCGGATCCCCTACCAGAGCTCCTGCGATTATTTCCACTCCCGGCCAAAGAGCAGCCAGGTCGGCGCTGTCGTGAGCCGACAAAGCACTACTGTGCCTAACAGAGATGTAAGCGCCGAAGCTGCTCCACCTGCACGTTGTAGGTAATGCGTACAATGTCTAAGTCTCAGTTTTCACAATTTCTTTCAGTATCTGAGGCAGAAAAATGCAGAACTGGAGGAGAAGTACAAGGACACAGAGGTGCCTATGCCTGATTACTGGTAAACCTTTGCTCTTAATTAAAGTTAATAACATGTTGGTACGGCTTCTTAAAGCTTTTTCGGTTCGTTGCCTTTAACTGTCCCATGATTTTCTTTTCCAATAGGGGCGGCTACATCGTAAAGCCTTTTTTAATAGAGTTCTGGCAGGGACAGACAAACAGACTTCACGACCGCATCGTCTTCACCAAGCTGAAGGACGGAGAGTCCGAGCTGGGAGAGTTTCAGCACGCTGCAGAGGGAGGCTGGGTGTACCAGCGACTGTCCCCATGAGGAGCATCAGCAGGCTGTGAAATAAAGGAGAGGACATGTTTCATCTCGACTATCACTGATTTAAAAAGATCACCATCTTTACCTCACATTAATAACCTTGCATAGGTGCTGTTGTGCGCAGTTTATCAACAAGCCAAATGTCACTGTGCTGTTTTTGAGGTGAACCATGTGTGCTAAGTGGATAAGTGGAGCAGCGTGGCACAATCTGACTGTGCAACTTTTGAGTTTTCCATGCTTTGTAATGGAAAAAGGGCACTGGCCTGAAAAAGTGGAGCAAACTTTACCCACTCAAAATAATGATTAACAGTATGGCTGTGGTTGTTTAACAGTGCAGTCGTTGACCTTCTAGGACATGAAAACTGTTTCTTATTTCTTAAAAAGCACAATCTGTTCCACTCATCAACACTTAGCTGCTGTTCTTCTCCATTGGTGTGATTATTTCTGTACAGGTGTGTAGTTTTCTAAAGAAAATATGGAAAATTGAGACAATTGCTTGAGAAAGAAAGAAAAGTGTGACTGTTTTGCTAATTATGGATTCAGAACATCATCTTTGGCCATAACCTGAACAATAAATATAAAAATGAATTTAGAGGCTTTTATATGGGGAATATGAGAGCATGCTCAATGTGTCATCTTAGAATTTATGACAAAGAGAGCTTGTTCCTCATGAGAAAACTAATATTTGTTTCAAATTCATTGTTGTCTCTAGACAGAGTTTACTGCCTCAGTCGTGTTAGCAACTCGTGAAAAAATCACAAGTCTGTTAACTGAACAACTAAAGTATATTTTTCTTCTAATTGGTGACAAATATGATTTTACACTTACAAATGGAAAATATGTGGCCTGTACTGGTGGTTAACTTAATTTAAATTGATTGTATCAGGCTTAAATCTATGGCAGTGACTGCCTTTTAATAGTGAGATTAAAAGAGCACGTGATGTCATTTGTGCCAACTGTTGTGTGTCCTGTATTGTTTGAGGATGAAATTGTGGTATATAGCTTGAAGTAACTGTGGGAAAATTTTATTAATTAAGTTTTAATTTGTAACTGAGGACAGAGTGTGCGTTTGACCAGCAGATGTCAGTAGCACAGCTAACACAAACACCAAGATTCAGCGAAACACGATCACTCAGAATCACTAGAAACATGCAATATTCTCATGGATTAACTGTTGACTTGTGGATTTCTGTGAATCACTCGATGATATCTGTCATTTTCTCAGCTAACAGCAGGGCAGCTCCACTACAAAATGCAGAAGCAGACCACAGGGTGTCAAATATCACCCTGCTTACTATCACCATGTCACCAAAACAGGCTGAACAGCTCACTAACCCCAAAGAACGACCTCACCAAGATCATCGCGTTTAAACAGGCCACCATCTGCATGTTAAAAGCTCTCCTCGCTGTAGACTCCAGCACAAACAGAAGAAAATCTTACATGTTAACAACTTTTATATTTATTACAAACAAAAAAGCATCTCAGAAAAAAATTACAGACAGCATTTCTTGTTGTTGATGTGTCACATGCAATGGCTGCAGGAGTTATTTGGACAGTTAAACCAACAAAACAGCATGAAGTTATTTCACAATGACATAAACAGATATTTGATTCGTACAAAAGCACAATTAGCATACCCAAGTCATGTTTTCTGATATGATTGTATCCATAAACTGTACCGCGGTCACCTGGGGCAACCTCCAGGCTCGAAAAATAAAGCCAAAACCTGCAGTTCCTCTAAAAGCCTGGCTCCAGATATGAGTCAGTCTGAATTTACAGCTTGAATTTTGTCCCTGTAGCTAATTCCCCCCTTAACAGCAACTATGAGAGGATGATTTTCTTTTAAAGAACTGACTTTTTTAAAGCATATTAAGGCTTAAAGCTTGCATTATTACGGTTGTGGCTGGAGTGACAGACATTGATATAGGCAACTGTAGCTTGCCATGTACATTTCAAAACATCTAAACCATGTTGGTGCCTTTTAGAGCATTTTAAAGGAATTTCTGCCACTTTTCTTCCTGTGTGATCAGCTGTACTGACCGATACTGAACATTATCGAAACTCTGCGGTTTATGACTGCACCTATCTAATCAGGCTTTCTAGGGCTAGCTGATAATTTAGAACTCCACCCTCTTATCCAACTTCTACATCCAAGGAAACCAACGTGAATTTAGATGTTTTCATATGTGAAACATGAGAGCATTTTTCAGGGTGTCAACTTAGAATTCATGACAATGAGAGCTGTAATTTGCACATGTATTCCTCACAAGTAAACGTTTAATATTTGTGGCTGCAAAATATGTTGTCAAACTGACTGTTGCCTCGAGAAAAAGTTGACATTGTTGCATGTTTGGATGACAAGATCAACATGGTGATCGTTAATGGTTACATTAATCTTTCATATACAATCTATAATTTTCATTTAAGAACATGTGGAAACAAGGATGGACGAAAGATGTTTGTCCTTCCCCGTTTGGGGATATTTTACTTGACAAGTGTATATAGATATATAAATAAATACATTTACTTGAACATTTTGTTTCTTAGAGCTGAGAAATTCAAGTCTTTTCAATGATGACTTGATACTTTTGGGGGCCTTTATATTTGAAAGCATCCACCATAATGTTTCAGATGTAATCAGTGACGTCAAGTCTTTGGTCATAAAAATGTAATAAAAATTTCCTTTGACATTTAACAAAACATAAAAACCTGAAACATAACATTACATCTACAACATTAAAAAATGAAAACTTAAATGACACCAATGTTACATTTGAATCATGAGGCGAGAATTCCCCAAATTTTCCTTCATGTCATTTTTGAAAATATAAAACAACAGCGTGAGCACAAGGAAGTAAATATAAAAGTTAAAAGACAGAAAATCTGGAGAAAAATGTGTCCAGCACTGTGTTTAGTTCCCGTCTGCCGGGTGGATGTTTAAATTTTGACACCTCGTTGTTTATTTAAGTGTCTTTTTTCTTGTGTTTTCCTGTGTGTGGTGAATAGTAGCACAGTAGTAGTACATGTAGGACAACATGGTGGTGTTTGCATACATTCAAGCCATCTTTGAAGCTTCTTATGTGTATATGACACATTACTGATCAAGTATGTGCATTTTCTGTGCTATTTCTCTGTCTTCTTTTTATGATTCTCTTGACTGAGGTTGTTGTCTGCAAACAGATTTGGGTTCTCGGCCAGCGTGACGCGGACCCTCTTCTTCTCCTTGTAGCGGCCGGAGTTGGAGACCTTGACGTGGCGTCCTTTGGTGGCAGATTTATCGACGATTTTCTCCAGTTTGGCATTCAACTGGCTGTCCAGTTCTGGAGAGCCGTTACTACTTGGGTGGTCTTTGTTCCCAGTGTTACTGCCATGCTCTGCTGGGATTTCATACAGAACCTTGGATTCAGACTTCTTCTTGCGTGAGAAGGTCAGCCTCCACCAGCTTGAGTCAGCCATGGCACCAACAGAGACTGGAGGATCGACCTGTAAAGTTCAGAGATCTTAGCGTGTGGTGAGCAATAGCAAAGAATTCTAGGTAAATAAAGTGTTTTAGCATTACTTTGTACACTTCAAAACAGCATTTATTCTGTCAGTTTTAATGCAGCCATGTTAGTCAGTCTTTATCTATACAAAAAGTCTTTTTATTTCCATCTATAAATGCATATCTAAATGTAGTCAGGAAAGGGTCTAGGCCACAAAAAAACTACAGTATGTACAGCTAGATCAAAACTTGGTAGAATTTTGAAATATACCGAGTCTCTTTATCACTATCATTTGACCAGAGGAAGATTTGAAACCAGTCAAACATTTACATTTATTCATACCTGGTCAACAATATAAATAAGAGCTTTGTAGTGTTACGAATCAACTGAATAGCCAAGTATTTATGAAACTTTAATGTATCACTTGCAACCAGTTTTAATTTAAAGGTCTGAAATCATGAAAGGCTAAGCTGGAGAAAGTTTGGTAGTGGCAGTCAAGACAGCATCATCAGCATAAAAATGTACATTACACTTCTGAGTGGGAAATTACACTGAATAAATGCACTTTGAAAGTAATTAACAGTGGGCCCGGTGTTGATCCCTGAGAGACGCCATTATCAGCCATGTTTTTTCTGTCAAATTGTTTTTGCTAACGTCAATAAAATTCAGGTTTTAATATAAAAATACAAAACATTGGATTAGATTATCATAACTCAAAATGTACTTTAAGAAGTAATTCAGTAGTTTGTATAAAATAAACTCCAGTTCCACTTACTTGTTTTTTTTTTTCATTTTGAATTAATTAAAATAATTTAAAGGTGATTTTATGTGGTAAATTGCAAAGCCTCGTACACAGAGGTGGCCTAAAGTTTTACAAGGCCTTAAGCAGGATTTGATTAAAGGCCCTCAGCCACCCACGTCAGCAAAGCCACTATTAGCTATATTGCCCTTGCCAAACCATTTCTGCATTACGCATCTAACACAACAATTCTAATGGCTTAGTTATTCTGTGCTGGAAAGAAATACAATAAACAAGCAGATGATGATTTTTAAAACAAGTTCACTGTTTTAATTTTTTTTAAATTGTGCAAAAGGGCAGCACAGTCACAAAGAATTTACCACAGACCGAAATATTATTTTATGTAACAGCGCAAATTTAAAAACAGTGTTAAATAAATTAAATGGAAACTAACTGTCTAGAGAGTAAAAATAGGTTAACACTGTAATTGCTGTTTCCATACAATATCCCCTGAGCTCACCACCCCTTGACATTTCTGTTATTGTTGTTATTGTTAGTGAATGTTAATAATAAATAACTTGCAAAAGCTCAGCGCTCACAGTGAATGATTAAACCGGTCAGTTAACATATTTATTAAATTAATTGGGGGCCCTCTGCTGATGTGGGGGCCCCCAAGCAGCTGCTTCTGTGTGAATTTTGAGTGTTGTCTATGCTGCTGCGCTTGTTTCCCCAGGTAGCTCTGGTTTCTCCTGCTATTGAAAAACATGTTAAATTAGTACCACCTCTATTGCCCCAGGGCATTCTCCTTTAATCTCAGCAGTTTTGCTTCCGGGTTTAATAAAGATTAAAGCAATGATATTACAGTGTAGGAAAACCCAGAGATTTGCAACAGTCATTTATGGATGTTAGTTAAATTTATACATGCTCTGCCACACTTCATTGTTTTATATTTGTTCCTCTGTGTTTTAGTTCATTTGCTCAGGATGTCCTTTATTTACATTCATGCGAGAACAGCAAAGCTGTAAAACTGTGACTGAAGTTCTTTGATAAGAACTTTAATTGATCTGAAGTTAAATTATACATATAGCATGTAATCAAAAGATTTAAATTCATTTATAAGGTTTTTAAAGGGAAAATGCATTAATATTTGAAGTTCTGCTAACTTACAATAACTATAGCTCCAATTACTTACATTTAATGTCAAAAAGTAGATGCAAATTTTTCACTTGTACAAATTTTCTGCTGCAGATTTGCATTCAAATTAAGCTCAGTCTGCACTGAACATCATGCCTTTAATGTTATATCATTCTCTCATTGTTGGTGAACCAGTTCAAAAAGACAAACAACACTGTTTACTCCGCTGCTCTGTGCAGGACTAGTTTGTAGAAAGCAGACGATACTACGGCTGGCTTACTTCATCCAGTGCACATCTCCGTGATTACGAGGTGTAACCCAATGGGGGAGCAACACCTGACACTCTGCTCTCAGCTGATAAATTAATGATTATCTGCACAGGATCCTCTATCGCTCGCATGTGATCTGATATAAAGTCAGGAAAGCAAATACTGGGGAAGCAAGCTGTCGTCCCGATGCTGAACCAGGAGTTTGGAAACGTGTTACATAATGACAAAGGGTGTCTTTCTGTTGTTCACTTAAGAATCACAACATGACCAAAAGCCTCTGGGTTTTCTCATCAAGTGATATCATCTGTATTATTTCAGGTGTATGGATACATACACAGGTAACGATAACAGAATAATACACCCAGGTCTCTGTGGTCCTCGGTCACCTGGTAACCAAACAGGTCAAATAACTTCCTTATGGAGCAATCG